AAATCATACATTGCAAGTTTTAGTAGCTGAATAAATCATATATGCATATCATAGATTTTGAAAATATCACTGAATAAAAACATATTATAATCCAACCAACCTAACTAAAATAGTGTTAAAAAAAAAAATTAAACACAAAAATACATTAAGTTGAGCGGTAAAAACATGTTGCTAAACTCGAATTTATCATAATTGAGCTAAATCCTTAAAACAATAGTATTTTTAATGCACTAATAATAATTAATATGAACGATTTTCATGAATAAGGTTAAATTGCAAACTATTTCTTTATATATTACCTTTTCTCACATCATTCATTAATAATATTACTTCCGTTTTATATTTTTGACAATTTTGTAATTTGCAACAAAACAAATTTTGTTTAGAAATTGGTGCATTCTTAAAAGTTGCAAAAAAAATATGAAATAAAAGTAGAATTATTAAAATTAAAAAATGACGTGGCACCCTAAATATCAGTTCAACTCCTTCACCCTCCTGTTGCCAAATTGCTAGCCACAAAAACACACCCTCCACTCTCATCCTCCACTGATCAACCTTCAACAATGGCTGTCCTCAGCCGCATCTCCCCTTCCCTCCACCACCTCTCCTCCACACTCACTCCTACCACATATCCGCCGCCGCCTCCGCCGCAGCTCAGCTACAATTCGACTACGACGACGACTTCAACCCAACTCCTTCGTCTCCTACACCTGCTACTGCGCTCGATTCCGATGGTTCTAGACCTTTCAGAGGCGTACATTGGGTCTTCATCGGTAATCCCTCCGCTAAGAAGCATATCTATGCCGACATGATCTCGAAGCTTCTTCATGTTCCTCGTATTTCCATTTCTACTCTTCTTCGTCAAGATCTTAACCCTCATTCTCCTCTCTATAAACAGGTTCACTCTTCTCTCATTTTTTGTTTTTGGAATTGATTTATGTTTTTCTTTTTGATTGTCTGACTGAATCCTGAATGCTGGTGTTATTGTTAATTTTACATGCTAATCATTTTATTTGGAATAATCAATGATTAAAAATCTGGCTGAATGACCTAATTTCTTAGGGTATACAGTATATAACTATATCAGTATATCGAAACATTCTTGAATTTTTGTCGTTGAATGTGAAATGATGTTAGATTGGTTTGAATAATGAACTCTATATTTGAGGGTGATATACAGATTTTGGGGAGGCATATACACGTTATACTTTTACTAGATTAGTGAATGCGTGACAAAATTATGTGTCGATTGGTGTCGTTGATGTTTGTATTAGAATCCTTTTATGAAATCATTTTCATATTTTAAATTGAAGAGGCCAAAAATGTTGTTTTATAGCATAATGTAATTGTTATGCACAATACACTAGCTTAGAAATTTTAGGTGTAGTGTGTCATATGATAACTTTCCCTGGCTTAGAATTTGGATGATATTGGGATAATAATATAGTAATACTGTACAATGTATACTTTGTATTAGAGAAGTTGATTGTTGACATGTTAATTATTATAAACTAGCCTTCTGTCCCATGCAATGCACGGTTGTTCATAGAAAATTGCATGAGATGAGTGAGAAAATACCAATAAATAATTATGAGTGTAATATGTAACAGAAAACATATTAAAGAAATAAAAATTTTGGGACTTTAATTTGAAATGAGACTTAATATAGAAAGAAGATGGAGGGACTAAAATCAAAGAGAGAAAATAAAAAGGTTGAATTAAAGAGGGGAGACGAAGATGAAGTATTTAATGAAAGAGTTGAGAAAAATTGTATAATAAAAAATAAAAAAGGTAAAATGACATGTGACACATTGGGTTGAAGAATAAGATAGGGAAGTGTAATAGAATGATGACATATGTCTTTTTTGGTTTGCTTTTTTAAATACTAAGTATAAATATAACAAAAGTTCAAGCTAATCAATTTTACTCTAGATTGGATTCCTTAAATGAGGTTTTTCGGACTATATAGATGATGTTTTCTTGAGTCTAAGCAACCATTGAATGCCAATATTTGAGCTTATTTTCTAAAGTCTCTATTTCGTTGTAAACGAAACCCAAAGATCTATGAGCTAGTATAGGGAAAAAGGTTTAGAAGTAAACTTAAATATTAATTATTTTGGTTATAATACTTGTTATTGTACAAAGTTATAAATTAGAATATATTACTTGCAAGGAGAATGATACCTTTTAGCATTATTACTATGATAAAAATGAAGGGAAAATGAAGTGAAATGCTTTATGCCTAAAAACTAAGGATATTGGAGGTAACACTTCTACTTGTTTTAATACAATGAACATTCATGCATACATTCTCCCTTCAGCTCTCATTCATAATAGACATTTCTATTTTGGATTGCTGTAAAATGACAACCTTAAAATACAACTACCTTGTGGCATGTGAAAGCTACAAATCTTGAAAAACATGGAATTTCAACTCAATTTCCTTCAAATTAAGCTTCAATCAAATGTGGCCTAATATTTCAAAACGGATGGGGTATTAATAGAATAAAAAATATTGCCAACCAAATGTGCCTTCTATATATTTTTTTTTGAAGCAACGTGTGCCTTCTATATGATAGTGCGCTTATGGGATGCATCTTTGATTGGATGAAGATGGTTACCATAGATGATAAAAAATTCTGATAGATGGTTTTCATATTATGTTGGTAGATTGGTGGACAACTGACATTTTTCTCTTTTTTATTTTACATAATGAAATTTCACTTGCAATGAGGGCGAGAGTGGACATACATAGAAAATGAATAGCCCTCTATCCCTCCCTTTCTCATTCAATTTTACATAATCCCTTAGATTACCACCTAAACTCATCATCTACCTTTGTTATGTCTTCACTGCTCCCAATCAAAGTGTGCCTTAAGGAGATTATTTCCCAACCTTAGAAATAAAATTGTCTCTTAGCTCCTTATAAAAGCTCCATTGATCTGAGCACACAGTTTTAAGAGATAAATTATAGTGGAATATTGTTGATAAAAGCTGAATATAAAATGTAATGGAAATAGTTTATTGTTTTCAGGCCAGTAATGACAATAAGAGAATATATATTGAGTTTTGAGAGGTTTTGTTGAATGAAATTGAATCAGAAGAAGAAATTAGTGGATGATGAAACCCACCCAATTGAGAAGTGGGACTTTATTTATGGACAAGAATTCTAGGGCTTTAGTTTAGGGACTGAGGGAGTTTTTCTGTATCTTGATGACTCAAATAACAATATAACCAGAAAAGAAATCTCTTTATACCTTACCAATAGTCCACCACGGCCTTTTAAAGTGATACAATATCTTTCCAGGTAATGGGATCATGGAGAAAATTCATTCTTACCTGATAGTTCTTTAAACAGAGCTTCACTTCTTTGATATTTTAAAGTAAATCCAACTCAAATAGTATTATAATCAAATCAGAACTATTGTTAATTTATTATGACCAGAATATTCTGATGTTCTTACAATTATAAGCTGTTGCACTCGTAAGTGTCATAACTAAGCTATAGGGAGCCACTTGTTCTATAGACCTGTTAATAATTTACTTTCTCTAATCAAGAATCAAGATTGTTCTGAATCTTTCAATGCTGGCTTCGCAGCCTGATGAAGCACTTGCATGATTATGATGAAAATGGTACTGTAGATTTCCTCTAGCCGGAGGGCCTATTTTATGTGATTTATTGCAGGGGTTTCTCAGATTTTTATTTGTTGTCTGTTACAATAGATTGCTGAGGCAATTAACTGTGGGAAGCTTGTTCCTGAGAGCATAATTTTTGGCTTGCTGTTAAAAAGACTCGAAGATGGACATTACAGAGGTGAAAATGGGTTTATTTTGGATGGCATTCCTCGAACACGCCTTCAAGCTGTAAGATTGCTTACCATCTGCAAACTTCAATTTAAATTTGCCTAATATCGGACCGATATCATATGATCACATGCATAAACTAGTTAAATCCTTTTGGAAGCATGTACTTGGCATAATGTGAGGTTTTATTCTTGTTTTGAGGGTAGAATAATATAGTAGTTTTGGGAGGAGCGCTCCCTAAATCCATCCCCTCTTCTTCTTCAAGGATATGATGTTGTAATTTTTTGTAAAGGCTCTAGTTTGATGTGGAGTGCCATATTGGTACTGTAAATTTCAAAGGTTGGAGTAATTATTACCAACTGATTTTTAATAGTGTGTGGTCCTTGTATTGTAGGAGATCCTCGACCAACTAGTTGATATTGACCTAGTTGTGAATTTTAAATGCTCTGAAGACCATACTCATGCAGCTGGTTGTCCTGTTGATTCTACCGCGCCTCGTGACAGAACCAAATCCAGTTTCTCAAATATTAACAAGGATACTGAAGATTCTCACCCAAAGGTCTCTGCATTCTACAGAGAGCAGGTGATTAAGTTTGGTTGGTTTTACATGTCTGAAAAGTAGCCTTGAATTATTTTTTGTAGTTTTGAATAGACTGCTGGAGAGTGCTTTGTGCATGTTTTAGGATGATTTGCTTGGTTTTACCTACAAAATCCAGACTATCATTTTTTTATTTGTCTGGAGCAGTGAGAAGCTCACGGTTTCTGGAGACGTACTCACAAATGTTTCCTTATGCCAGATGCAGTATCTGGAGGACTACTACCAGAGCCAGAAGAAGCTTATTGACTTTCAAGTGGGAAAGGCACCAGGAGAAACTTGGAAGGGACTCCTAGCTGCACTGCATCTGCCACATACCAATGCTGTTCATTCTTCAAGAACACACTATGCGTTTCAGAGTACCTTGAATATTTGAGACTTTAAGCTCTGCTGCAACTTTTGTAAATATGATGATTATAGACTTTCCGGAGCCTCTATTTCGAAGTTAAGAAAGTAAAGAGCAGTATAGATTCTAACTATGTTTCTCATTTTGACTAGATACTGGTTGCTAATACTCGAATAGTGATTAATTTTGATAGTGGATAGGCATTGTTAAAAACAATTCCCAAGGGAAAAAATTATGTGCGTAGATGGCTAAATGTACATGCTTTAAAGCAGTTCCAGTTTCTCTTATATTACATACTCAAGATCATATAACATGTGGACAGCAAAACTGTAAAGTACGAGTCTGGACTACTGTTGCAGGCTTACAATGGTACACATTTACAGGGAATAGATGATGATTATAATATGTGCTTTGTTTTGCTCTAGAGATTTATGTTTGTTGATGCCTAAACATGACATATTGAAGTTTACACCAGTATACAATACAGGACGAAAATCACGATTGTGCCATGGAACCAATTTTTTGGTCACCGTCTGCTGTTGCTTGAACCTGAGCTGCATACTGTAGATTCCAAAGCACATCCTCAAAAGAAGGACGTGTTGATGATTCAGAAGAAACACATTTGTTGGTTATTGAGATGACTGTTGCCAATGATTCTTTCGAGGAAGTTGACAATACAATAGGGTCTATGACTCTTCTCTGACCTTCCTCACTACCAAACGATGCCTGTGAAAAAGACGCATGTTAGTAAAGTACTGCAAATAAGAATACAATAATTTTCCTCCATAAAATGTTCCCTAAATAATTCAGAAACACAAAACACCCAAAATCTACTGGTAGTTACTTAAAACTGAAATTGTCACTTAGAATGGACTCAAGTCTAATCTCTGAAATCTGCTGTCATGTCTAAATTGTGGTTTATATACCATCGGCAACAGGATTAAGGGTTTACCATTTCAGTTAGCAGAACTGCCTTCTTCTTAGCGGCCACCGACGGACCAATGAGGGATTCTAGTAGTATAAATCCGAAGCAATAAATGTCATCCTCAATAATTTTCATTTGCCTGCAGTACAAAGAGGAGAAGCAACTAAAGACTTGTACATAAATTGAGTAGGCAATCAAGATGGACTAACGGCAGGATAGTTCTTTCTTACCATGACTTAGCAGCAGCTTTTCCCTGTGAATTAAAGGACAAAGTATATTATAATCAATCACTCAAATCGGAAAAACTATCGAGAGATTCACATAAATTGTCAAAATAATCTCACCCCAAATTCATCATCGTCATAGATGATTGACAGTCCATAATCACTTAACTTTGCCCTTCGATTCTCATCAATCAAGATATTATTGGTTCTCAGTCGATTGTTGAAGAAACCAGGAATGATTCCTGTGTGAAGGAACTGCACAGCCTTGGCAATATCAATAAGAATTACCAATCTCTCGGGCCACTTGAGTGCTCTTACTTGACCAAGATCTGAAATTACGGCATTTGCTGCATATGTTAATTGCAACAAAAGCCTAGGGTATCAAAGCTATAGGACATCAATGAAGTTGCTTTTGCTTTGAGACTAACCAGAAAGATGGGAGCGTAAATTTCCATTAGGCACATATTCATATATAAGATAGACCTTGTTGCCACTAGAATCAGCCTTTGCTCCAGCGTCAATGCAGTGACCCAGAAGGCAAACCAAATGTGGGTGGCGAAGCTTTGCCAAAAGGTCCAGCCGAAGCTTGAGATTACGAGTGGTGTATTTATTTGATAGAGATAGGCACCTTACAGCTACTAAGGTTTTATTCTGTAATGTTCCTTGATACATCTGAGAAACAAAGCAGTGCAAATGTTAGGCAGATTCAAAAATTGTGATGTTATATCCAAATGGAAGAACATGTACATCTTTCAGCAAATGCCAACCTCCATCTATTTCAGAGAAAATAACAAAAAAAGAGCAAAAAAAAGTAAATAGAAGAGTCACAACTCGACCTACATGATAATAACCTGCTTTCATTTTTACTTTTTCTTTTTTTCTTTTCAACCAAACACCGCCCAAAACACAGATTGACAAGAGAGTTTCTTTCTTTTAGCTATATCCAATGAAAAATCTAGTTCCATATAGTTCTGATGTGAGCATGGGACATTGGAATTTGAGTGAATGAAAAACGCATGAAGTTATGACAGTACACTATACCTTGCCTCTAGCACCTTCCCCCATCAGGGCAGATTTATCAAAGTTCATGGTAGCTTCTTTCAGCTCTTCCATGGAAAATGTTCGACACGCTGGGATTCCTTGTGTGCCAGATTTAGAAACTTCAGATATATATCCTGAACAATGGGGAGGCAAAAATGAACACTAAAAACATTTGAATATTCCAAAAGGAACACAAGACTCAAAAACGAACGTACTTGCATTTGCTAGTATCTCAGAGGTCACCCCAGTTACACTGTTTTCCTGAACTTGCTTCTGCAACAAACTCTGTTCTTGACAGCCTCTTGGCCAGTATCTTCTATAAATCACCAGAATTCCAAATGCCAGAAGTCCCACCACTGCAACAATTCCTCCAATCACACCAACTAAAGCTAATGCACTTTTGGCTGAGTAATTGTTTTTCTTTTGCTGCATCTTGGCACAATATGACTCCGGATGCTGGTTTACTCCACCGGCTGTCAAACAATTTCCATAAAATTGAGCAGTAATTTTATTTAAACACCTGGGAATCTCGCCAATTAATCTGTTGTTCGACAAGTCAGCAAACTCGAGTTTCTTGCCACATGCCAAATGAATGGGGAGTGATCCACTCAACTCATTTGATGCTAAATTCAGGTAACTAATATTAGGCAAGGAGAAAAGAATGTTGGGTAGTCTTCCTTGAAGATGGTTCAGTGACAAATCAAGGTGCTGCAAGTGGTTCAGTTTCTTGAATTCCTGCGGTATCTCACCAGTAAAGGAGTTGTTATTCAGCAATGCCATAAATAAAGCTCCAGGCAATTTGGGTAGTTCCGAGTCCAGTTCATTCCAACTCAAATCCAACATTTTCAAGCCACTTAAACTACTCAAATCAGGCAATCCCCCAGAAATCTTGTTATTTGACAATGCAAGAGTACTGAGAGTCCTGATTTTCCCAATTGAAGCAGGAAATGGACCCTTCAAGTGATTATCTGACAAGCTTAGGATCGAAAGATTGGATAGCGAATGCAACCAATCTGGAACACTCTCATTGAAGAAGTTACCATCAAGTCTTAGTGTTTGAAGCTTCACCATTGTGGCAATCCTTGGTGGAACAGAACCATACAAATAATTTGAACTAAGATCCAGAAACTCCAATGAAGATAGCCTGTTAATTTTATCCGGAAGCGGCCCCCAAATGCCCAAAGACACCAAACTAAGAGCTCTCAAGCTGGTGAGCCTTGCCAAAGTTGCAACAAAGGAATCCATTGAAAATCTATCTGATAAGGTCAGATTTGGAATTGCATACCCAACAAATTTGCCTACTTTGAAAGGCTTACTACCCATAATCCTAAGCTCAGTAACAACATCTACTTCACAAGTGACATTAATTTTTGTTGACGGAGACATGAAACATACATTAGCATTATTATCATTCCACGCTGCCAATTCATCAGGGTACTCTAAATGCTTTCTTAATTGCATAAGCACCTGAATTTGTGAGGATTGCAATTGAGAAGTACCAACTATGCAGAAGCTCAATGAGACTGAGATAATTAAATACAAGCTCCAATAACTCATTCTCATTTCATTAAATAAACCCATAAAAACTAACCAATTTCTTGTTGACTTAAGATGCAATCATCAAAAAAAAAACCTGCCCATGAACCAAAAAAAAAAAAAATCCAAATAATTTTTTTTGACAAGATAATGCTTATTTAATTCCAACCAAACACCCTATTGCTAAACAAACCAATTCCAACAGTCCGTCAAACAAGTCAAGTGAAACAGCCAACCGACTAACAGCTGATTTTTGTAATATCAAGCAAAAGGGAAAACAAAAGCAAAAGAGATAAAAATCTTGGAATTTATGGGGTTACCTCAAATCATTGTAGTGCTTAAGCATGGAAGTTTCTTTTACCAGTTTAAGAGACTGCAAACTTGAAAAGTCAAGCAGAATTTATTGAGTGGGGTATTTTCTTCTTTATCTCTCTGATTGAGCAAGTTGAAGAAGTGGCAGGGCAGTAGATAGAAACAACAGTTTGAAAGAGAGTGACAGTACAGTTTACTGTAAACCAAGCATGGTGGTGAAAAGATGAAATATTTCACAATAAAATTAACAGGGAATCTGTTCTTGTCATTTTCCATTGTTTTGTTTTCTGGGATTTTTTTGGGTTTTATTTAAGAGGTTTGGTGATATAAAAAGAATATAAAGTTTAATTTGGCTTTAATGAAGTTTGCTAATTGTGTGATTCCAAAAGATAGATTGCATTTCTTTAATTGTTTGTGGGGTTTACATGTTTAATTCTCTTGGAACTTGGAAATAATGAAGAATCAGATACTCTTCCAGGTTGTCTTGAATTCACAAAATAAGAAAATTAGCCCTCTTGCTGTTATAAATAAGTAGGCAAGGAAATGACTAAGGGTATGTTCATATTTACTTAATTTCAGTTCAGTTCAGTTCAGTTCAGCTCCAATCAGTTCAGTTCAGTTCAATTCAGTTCAGCTCTTAATTTCCCTCTCTCATAAAATATTCATTTCAGCTTAGTTCACTTCAGTTCAATTCGGTTCAGCTCCAATCAGTTCAGTTCAGTTCAGTTCATCTCCAATCAGTTCAGTTCAATTCAGTTCAGCTCTTAATTTCCCTCTCTCATAAAATATTCATTTCAGCTTAGTTCACTTCAGTTCAATTCGGTTCAGCTCCAATCAGTTCAGTTCAGCTCCAATCAGTTTAGTTCAGTTCAGTTCAGCTCAGTTCAGTAAATGTGAACAGGCCCTAACCCTTGAATCAGTGACATTTTTTTGCCCATGCATTTATGCTCCAAGCCTCCAACTTTTTAACCACTCCCTCCGGCCTCCGTCACATATGATAATATAGTTTCTCTTTTTCTATTTTGGAGATTTATAATGTTGTTTTTACTCCATTCGTCCCATAATTACAGACAAATAATTCTAAAAAGTACGGTTTTTAAGGAGAATGGAAAAGGTAGAGGAATATTGTATGAAAAAAATAAAAAGTGAAGAATGTTGTATGGGGATAATAAAAAGTAGAGAATATTGTATAGAAAAGTTAAAAAGTAAGTAATGATTGTTTGAGGAACTAGAAATGGAGGAAAGTTAGGCATTTACAAATGCATAACACGGGGTATTCATGTAATTATACATACATACAAACGAATGCATATTCTGGTATCATTGGTTGATCAAATGGTACCACTGAATATACAGTGATATTATATGTGCACATAACGGTATTATATATGCATTCAGTTGTACAAATTTATGCATAAATAGTACCACTGAGGATTCAATGGTACCATATAAACTTTCAGTGGAATAATTAATATGTGGTCCCCCATCACGTGATACAACCCGACCAAAAAATAGGTGGGGTCCACATACATACCTCTCTCTTCCTATCTCTCTCCTCTTTTCTCTCTCTATCATGTGTTTTAATAATATTTTAATCAATGTTATGCATTTACAAATGCCTAACTTTCTTCCCTTTAAAATTTCTCTGATTGTTTGGGTATGTGTGTACTTTGTATGAAAAAGAGAAGAAATAAGTAATGATATTTTAGGTATATATGTGTAATTTGTATGGAAAAGCTAAAAAGTAAGTAATGATTAGGTGTTATTTTTAGTAATAGGAGGAACATTTTGGGACACCCAAAATAGTATGTTGGCATGTAATTATGGGACGGAGGGAGTATTTTTTTTTTTTTTTTTGAAAGAAGTCCTAAAGGACATTAAATTTCATTAAATAAAGCCATACAACATCTACAATTAACAATAATGAAAACAAATTTAACAAAATCAAACAAGTATTAATCGGGGAAGGGCTAAGAATCCAAATACATAAATATAACAATTCGGCACATTCTCGATTCGTTGTCTCATACAATTTTTTGAGAGGATTCGTCGTCTCTTCGCAATTTTGTGAGAAAGTTAATTCTTGTGTTGATTCCGTAACCCGAATTCGAGCCATAATCAATCGTAGCCCCGCACAACTGGAGACCAAATTAAACACAAATAAAACCTTGTCTTTCGAAGGAGTCCGAAAAACCTTGTCTTTTGAAGGAGATTGAAAAAACCTTGTCTTTCGAAGGAGATTGAAAAAACCTTGTCTTTCGAAGGAGATAAACTCTTTCTTTCAAGGGAGGCATTATTATTGTAACCTAAGAAACAAAAGGCTTAAAAGAAAATAAAGATTGGGGCTTTCCACCGGTAAAATTCGATAAAAGCCCCTTTAAAATTGATAATGGAGGCTAGAGTTTAGGAGAGAGAAGAGAGAGAGGAGACTAGGGTTTTCTTTTTACACCCCAAGAACCATTGATTTTTTAAAAGGTTAATGACTTGTTCTTATTTTTATTTTTGAATAGTATGTACTCACTTTTTTAACTTAATTAATTGTATTACTTAAATTACACTTGAATTTTGTACATGCATAGAATTTTTTTTCCACTTTCTCTCTCTCATTTTTATTTATTACTGTACTTTTCACTTTTATTAATGCACTTCATCCACTATTTCTTTTTATTTCTTAAATACCGAAAAAACACAAACCAGAACTATATTATGGGACGGAGGGAGTAGTTTATTTATTTGTTTTGAAATGTGGTGACTAGGGGTTTGTAAGATGTGACGGAATTGGGATAATTTGACCCGATCTAAAACAACTCAAAATTATTAGGTTTTGCACACGAAATTAGATTTTTAAACTCAAATACTTTGTATGTCCTAGCTTGGAAAGATACAAAATGAGGAAAATTTTAACAGAATCGTTACTCGTCTGACCATTTGAGTGCTTGAATCTATAACCTTTAATAATATGTATAGATTGTATACTATCCCTCTTTCCCATAATACGTGATACAATCAAACATTGAACGCATGCCAATGAACTAATTTGACTTTAGTTTTATATAATGAAATATTAATGAAAATTATTTTAAAATTATATTATTAAACTTTGCTTTATATTAAAACCTATCTTTTCCTATAAAAAAAAAAGAACTATCTAACAACATATTTTGTGATAAAATATATTTTTGTTATGTTAGTAAAGAATTATGGTCAAACCTAATGTATGAATGGTGAAAAAAAAGTCCAACATCTCCTGTATTATGGGATGGAGATAATAGTATTTTATGCACGCAATGCATGTCGAGATTTTCATAAAACTTAATTACTTTAATCAACAACGGACAGACGTAAATAAATCCAAAATCAATTAAAAAATTATTTAAACTCGAGTGCAAGATACACCCAAAGGCTTAATCTGCTCATTTAATACAAAAAGACTTTTCAATTGCTACAATAAAAATGTAGCCATTGTAACTATTTTCAATTGTGACCGTTCAAATTTTAGGGATTAATCGGGAAAAAAAATGTTATTGTATTTCTTACTAAAATAAAATTGGTTTTTACTAAAAAAAAAAAAATCATTAATGGTTGTTTTTGCCGTAGCCGGATCTTAGAAGTTTTTTTTGTTTATGGGAAAATCATGAACAATAAAGAGAAGGAAAGAAAGCAAAGTATACAATCAATTAATCAATCAATAATCTATGGACTAATACTAAAATAAAACTTTTCTGACATCATGCCTTTGTACACATGTCACTTTGACATAAATTTTTTTCCCGCCAAATTGATTTGATGATGTCATTATTTTTTTTTAATATTTTTTTACTTTTACCTTTTTATTTTTATTTTTTTTAATTATTACTATCTAATATAGTTTACCTTTCATATGTTTTATCCTTTGTCCTCAACTCCTCATCGACTTCTTATTTATTTATTTTTAAAGTATGTTAATATTTCAATGTTAAAAGTGTTCATTGTGATTTTTTTTAATTTTATAAATAATATGCTACAGTGTACACAAAAAATTAACGAAGTAGAAAACTTTCTTTCTTTCCATTATAAACAAATGTCATAATATGTCTGTTTAAAATCATGCATCGCACGAGAACTAAATTATTGTATACTAAAAGACACACCAACAATGACACATGTCATCTTCTGCTGTGTCCTTAGGTGATTTATTTTTTTTTATTATTATTTTTTGAAAACACTAATTAAGTAATGTTTAAATGAGGTAAAATAAAATATATGATTAGGGTTATGGGACTACTCCTTCCTCCTCTCTCTTCTAGGGTTTTAGTTTTCTTGACCATTTAGGCCAGAAATATAATCTAATTTCTTCGGAAATTAGATTATATCCAACCCTTTTTCTTTAATTCAATTTAGTTTTTTAGTTTTGTTTTGTTTTGTTCTCTCCATCCGTGAGAGTTTGTCCCAATTTTATGAGATTTTAATTCTCATCCATGGATGAGAATTTTATTTTGGGGTTCTTATATTATTGGGAAGGTGACTTGGATTCCTATGGGTTTGGGATTTGTCATCAACCGGTTGATCAAAACATCAGTGCAGATTGCGAAAGTCTCAACTTGGAAACATGCAAAGACATTGAAAATCATTTCTCGCGTCAAGCTTGAAGCGGTGGATTATGGGCTATGCCAAATATGCAAATTAGTTATGATTTTGATTGTAAAAGTTATGATATTTTTTCTGAATCTGTGGTTTACAGATCTTTATTATTGCAGATGTCGTATGACTATTATTTAATGATATTATTACTTCCCGTTCAAAAAAAAAAACAAAAAGAAAAGAAAACGAGGTAAAATAAAAAAGTTGACTCATAGGCAAATTTCCTGAATCGACTAATTGTTAAAATTAATTATAATCTAAATCTTTAGTTTTAGAAATAATTAAAAAAAAAAATCAATCACAACACTAGAAAAAAATATCATATAGATTATAATACAATCCATAATAATAACTAAAGATTATTATACAATTTTTTGCCAAACTAATTACCTTAATAATCAACAACTACGTACGAGTAATAAACATCAACAAATAACTACATAATATATTGATTGATGACTAATATTTTTTTTATTATTATTATTTGCATACGATATTACCAAAACATAATTTAAAACATACTAATATCCTATTAGAGTTCATCATACTAGAAAGGTTGAATAAAGAAATAATACGTTATTTGAAACATATGGATTAATACTATAAATGACTTGATTTGAGATAACATAATAGCGTGATTTTAATAGTGAGTACAAAGGGAATATAATTAATATAGCTTATTTAATTAACAAGAAAATAATGATACCACACTGAAAATAATAATAATAATAATAATAATAATAATAAGGAAAAATTGCGGAAAATAATACAACCTTTGGCCCGTTCTTTTTTAATAATACAACCTTTTGATTAATTCTAAATAATATAACCTTTGGGGGGTGTCAATTTTAAACAAGACGAAAAACTTGTAACCTTTAAAACCGGTTACCCATGACGCGTGTTGTCATGTAATTGGTCTGAATATTATTTTTTTTTTAAAATAAATAACTTTTAATTTTTAGTTTTTAACAAAATTTTTAAAATTAAATTAGTTCCTAATTAAGACATTAATTGTAATTTATATTATTTTAGCAAATTAAAAAAAAAAAAAAAAAACCCCACCCATCCCCTTCCTCTCCCTGACCCAACCAACCACCATATCTCCCACCCTCGAGCCACCTCCTCTCCCCCTTCCCCACATGAAACGACGACCTTATCGCGATGGTACGGCCGGCGCCCAGCACCATCCCTTCCTAGACACACGAGCCTCACCATGACGCGAACGACACACTGATGCAAGATTCGGTGGGGATTTTTTTTCGATACAGAGGAGGTCGAGGGGGGCGGTTTTCGAGCAACGAAAAGGGAGGGAGGTGGTTATCGGGATCTGGGAAAGGGAATGGGTGATTTTTATGGTGTTTCGGGGGGTTTTGTGGTGGCGGCTGCGTGGATTAGGGTGATTTTTGTGGTGGTTGGGAAGGAAAGGGGGTTAAGGGGGAAGTGGTCTGTGTCGGGGTTAAGGAGGAAGTGTTCTGCGTGCCGACGGTGAGGATGTGGCTGGGTGGTGGTGGTTGGGTGGTTTGGGGTTAAGGGGGAAGGTCGGGGTTAAGGGGGGGAGGGGAGAGGAGGTGGTTGGGTGGCGGTGGTTGGGTGGTTTGGGTTTTTTATTTTTTTATTTCTTTAATAATAAAAATTATTTAATTTATTAATTATATTGAAAAACCAATAAAAACAATGACACGTGTCACGGTTACCTTCAAAAACAGCTTACCAACAAGTAATGTCTTGTTTAAAATTGACACCCCCAAAGTTTATATTATTAAGAATTAATCAAAAGGTCGTATTATTTAAAAAAAAAAAAAACGGGCCAAAGGTTGTATTATTTTCCGCAATTTTTCCTAATAATAATAATAATAATAATAATAATAATAAACAAGACATTGGTGCTCGTGCTGTAGCTCATATATTCACTAGGGTAGGCTTTGCTATAGCTAGAGGAGTGGAGGCCCAGATTGTATCCCGGCTTCCCACTAATTTATTGTAGGTTGTATGACTTTTGTTTTTGAGATATAATAATAATAATAATAATAATAATAATAATAATAATAATAATAATAATAATAATAATAATAATAATAATAATATGATCATATGCATAGCTTTTAAATACATAATTATTTCAAAAAATATTTTGGTAGTTTAATTCACAAAATTATTAGACAATTTTCTTAAACTAATCTTTACTACACTAATTAAAATAGTGTAGAATGGATAGTAATAGTAAAAATAATCGTGCGTGGCACATAATCTAACCTAGTAAGATTAAAAGATACTCTGTAGAAACTAAAAAAATCGTGTAGGTTTTTTTAAAAATTTCTTTTTCTTTTTCTACTTTATCAAAATATTTTTTTAAAACCACAAAGTCATCCCATAAACGGTATGGATTAGTCGTCAAAATTTAATGAAAGGTTAAGATTTAATCTATTATAATGGCTATATAATTTTTTTTTGACAAAATAATGGCTATAGTTTAGTCGTAGCTATTTGAAAATTTTCCAAAATAAATCTAAAATCAATTAAAAAAAATATTTAACCTCGATTTCAAGGGTTTAATCTGCTCATTTTATACAAGTACTTTTTTCTCATTTTAAAATCTTAAAAAGAAAAAATGAAAAATAATAAAAATAAAAATTCCTTAGGTGCACCCATCTCTATAAGCAATCGAGTGGCCGTGTACATGAAAACAAAAAAAATTACAAGAAAAACAATAACATGTACTCTGAATTTCAATAAAGGCATGATATAACTAATATATAAAGCTAAACTTTTAGCCAGGTCACGAAATAGCGACACTTGACATTCTAACTTTTCGCCAAGTGTCGCGCCACCTTGGATAGATTTAAATAGACTTCATAGGATAAAAAAGTTTAATTAAAAATTCCATTTTCAATCAAATTAGGATATAATTTTAGAATAAGATGGTTAGTTTAGAGTTTTATTTTCGATAAAATACCAAATAATAAACTTATTATTAGGCCACAAGACAACATCATTTAGTGTATTAACTTTTCACCAAGTGTCGTACCACGTTGGATAAATATAGATATACTTTGTAGCAAAAAAAAAAGTATATTTAGAATTCTATTTTCAATCAAATTGAATTATAATATCATTTTATCTTAAAAGTCCATAAACAACCCGGGCATCGCACGGGGCACAAAACTAGTATATATATATATATTACAAAGAGAAGTTAATGACAATTACTGAGTACTTTATGGGTTTTAGAATGTTTAAGTGCATATAGTTTTTTTTCGCATAGAATGAAAAAATATTGGAAAAATTAACGTAAATAATCAGAACTTTTCGTGATCTTCCAATAATAAGTTAAACTTTGATTTATTAAAATATAGCCCAACTTTTACTACTACTCACCATTCTATTACCGGGTAATTAAAAATTTAACTAGATGATGGAGATTAACTTGCTTATATGACATGGGCAGTTGATGAGTTGAAGGTTTTTTTTAAGGAAAATTTGCAAATTCCAGCCATTTAAAGTTAATATTTTGCAAATTGCAGCCATTAATATTTTTTTTTTTGCAAATTGCAGCACAAAAGTTCTTATAAATTGCAGTCCGATTCAACATTTTTATCGATTTACTCGTCGAAAAATATTCGGTTAAGATTTTAGGGGCCATTTTAGTTCGTAAAGATCCGGATTGAGTTTGGAATTAGTAAAAAAATAACATAAGTGCCTCATTTTTACAACAAAAATTAGTTGCCCACAAATTGATACATTTTTGTTACGCAAAACGAGACACTTACGCTATTTTTTTGCTAATTCTGAGCTTAATTCGGGATTCTTAAAAACTAAAATGACCCTAAAACCTTAACTCAAAATTTTTTGACACGTCAATTGATGAAAAATTTGAATCGAGCTGCTATTTACAATATATAGGAACTTTTGGGCTACAATTTGCAATTTTTTTTAAATTGCTGCAATTTACAAAATACAAACGTTAAATAAGTACAATTGACAAATTTTCTTTTTTATTTTCAATTTTTTTTATTTAACCTCTTTTAATTCCTAGTTTCGGAGCAATTTTTCAGAAGTAGAGATTCGTCTCCAAACCACACCTGATTACCTCAACGGCTGAACCCGGCCATTGATCCAAATTTCCCTCTCTCTATCCGCCATAAATTCCGTCGGAAGCAACTGCTCATCATCGACGCTCACCGCCGCACCGACGCCTCAATCTTCATCAGAAGATGGAAAAAATGAACGACCTCACCAACGTTCTTCCGCCAATAATCCCAACTCTCCCAGACTTTCTCATATTGGAAGAAATTCTGCCAAGACTCCCGGTAAAATCCCTAATTCGCTTTAAATCTGTTTCAAAATGCTGGCTTTCTTCAATTTCTTTCCCTAAATTTGCAAAATCCCACCTCAAATTCTCCTCTTCTCATTCGAAATTCCTCATACTTACTGAAAACAATCGTGAATGGAAGAACGAATTCTTCTTATTAGATTACAATGAAAATAATTGCAATGTGAATGAATTCGTTCAATTGGTATTTGATAATGGGTGTGATGACCCAATTACATTTATGGAATTAGTGGGTTCTTGTCATGGTTTGGTGTGTTTTTATGTGCGGAAAGACCCTAAATTCTTTTTTGTTTGGAATCCTGCTACTCGTTGTTCTCGTAAAATCATGATTCCTGTAGCTCACGATAAGGCTATGCATTATGGATGTGAGTTTTATTATGATCCATCACATGATGAGTATATGATCTTTGGCTCGTTTTCGGCTCCTGGAGATTTCTATGTTCATTTTCATGTGTTTTCTTTGAGTTCTGGAATTTGGAAAAGAATCAGTAATTTAGATAAGCATTTCCAATTGATTGTGCTTGGGAACACACTTTTAGTTGATGATACTATATACTTTTGCTCTTTTATAAACAATCATATTGTTGGGTTTGATTTGGTTAATGAGGAAATAAAGGAATTGCCGTCGATGAATTGGCTAAGTAGGTATTACAGGGCGCGTTTATTGCGCTTGAGGGGTTGCTTGTCATTGCTTTGTTACACCTCGGATGATCTTCTTGATGTTTGGATATTGAACAATTCTAGAGATTGGAATTCTTGGCAGAAATTGTTCTCTTTCAATTGTGTAAATGTTATGTACCATGGTTTCTCTGAGACGGGCAAGTGTTTGGTACACCATGGGGGACAGCTCAAGGTTGTCGATCCAAGTTGTGAAACTCTACAGTTTTCTCGAGAAGGTATTAATCTTAATGACGACTGCATAGTTCAATCAAAGGATTATATTGAGAGTCTGGTTTCGCCTTTCTAACAGTCAACTCAGCAAAGCTCAATGAGGATAAAGAAAATGAGAGAGTGAGAAATCTGAGTATGTATTCATCTGATATTTACTCAATCTATATAATATTATTCGGACTACACTTGTTAGCGTTGAACTTTTAGCTTATGCTTTTTACCTTTTGTAATGCATGTTCACTAGTTGGTGTTCATCTATTTATATTTAGTTTCAAGATTTGGTAATATCTGTATTCGTGTTATGATAACTTCCAATGTTTGGAGATGTTATATGTTCTTTACTTCTTGTAAGCTATGAGAATTACCAAGCTACAAGCTACTTAATTACTTTGTCTTGAAGCTAGTAAAGTTGCTTATTACTTGCTCTTTATACGATTTAGGTCGGTAATAGGCAAAATCTTGCCAGATCATGACATGAAAACTTACATAGTCTCTTATAGATGTTTCGTGTGGTAAGCTTTTGCGAATATTAAGTTACATAGTCTCTTATAGATGTTTCGTGTGGTAAGCTTTTGCGAATATTAAGTTACATAGTCTCGTATAGATGTTTCGTGTGGTAAGCTTTTGCGAATATTTAGTTGCCTCCCTAATCACTAGTCAATTTTAGGAATCTTGGGCGTCCTAAGCTCTTTGTTTTGGATCCTTTGTGAAAAATTATGTGCAGAAACATGTGATCCATAGCGTCTAAGTCCCCTACTCTGTCATGTAACAAACTAATTAGGTCTGTATCATTCATCCATATAGGTAACCTTTGCTTTGTAGAAAGCTTATTGTATAAGGCTAACTACTAGAAAAGCACTTTGCGAGTAACACATGTTTGAACTTCCAATGCCACCACCCCTTTTGGCAGCTTTAGGCCTCTAGCAGCAATATTTTTCCACATTTCCTGATGAAACTTCCGTCAGTTTTCTAGCCTCTACGCTAAACTTAGCTAGTAAATTGTTCTAGGAGTGTTCTATGCATATTGAGCAGCAGTTTTTTGAGTTATGTTGTCTACTTGTCTGAAAACAATGTTTCAGTCATTCTTTAGCTCATTAATTTGAACTTGTTTGTAAACTATTTGATACAATTTCTTCCATCTTTATCACACAATGATTTCTTTGAGAATTAGCAAGTCCTTTTTGCTGCTATTAGACAACCACTTGCAAGGATCAATATTTTCAGATGATATGAACCCGGGTGAAGAGAAGTAACTCTCAAGCGACATACTGGCTTTCACCAGAATTTCTCAAAGTTTTACCAGAGAGTACAGACTATGCCAGTTTCTTGGACCTAGACTTTGCTGATATTTTTTATGAATTTCTGGGATGGCCTTCCTGTTCTGTTTTTAACCTGCATTGTGTTTAAAATTCTCTGTGAAAGTTCTCAAGCGAATTGTATCAATGTGCTTGTCTGGTACTCCGCAAAATACATCTTAGCAAAAGCTGGTTGATGAACTCCCAAATGTTCCTTATGTAACTTGATTTATGCGGTCTAATGCTTGCATTTGTGGAGGCCAGAAAAGGGGTTTGGTCACACTATACGAAATAATAAGATGGGATAAGATAAAAGAAATTTATGAGCAAATTGTAGCTGTAAAAAAGTACCTTACCGTACAAACCCTGATTATAGATTTTGGCACAAACTGTGCATATATGTAAGAGCACTAGCAATGGTGAGTGTTTTTTTTGCTCATGAGAATTTTTTGTGAGTAAAAAAAATGATCATGAGCTACAATGGTGAGCAAATGTAAAAATGGGAAAAAAAGCTCATGAGCATTTCCAAAAAAGCTCAAAACTTGTGCATTTTTATTGATGAATAGTAATTGGAGTGGGGCCCACAGCTGGCTGGCAAACACAAATAAAACGGTACAATAATGAAGATGGAGATTACACGTGCAGTGAAGAATCAGAAAAAAAAAAAAAAAAGTTGGGTGGCTGACGCGTGCAGTGAGGCAGCTAGTGAAGACGCGACACGTGGCGGGTGTAGGCAGCCAGCCAATCAGAAAATACTAGCCGTTTGGTTATTTATTTATAATGCATTTTCAGGAAAATATATTTTGTAAAAAAAAAAAAAAAAATTACCAACGGTCATAAAATTAAATTCTCTATAAATAGACATGCATTTTGATATATTTTGATATAAATTCGTAAATACTTTTTTTTGCTCACCATTGGGAGAGAAAATGTGAAAAAAATTTGCCCATGAGCAAAAGTGATTTGTTGAGAGAGAAAGTGGGTAGAGAGAGAGTAGGTGAGCATTTTTTTTTGCTCACCATTGAGAGTGGTCTAACATTGAAAAGAAAAGTGAGACAAAGGTAGATATCAAACCCTTCCCCTTCTCTCTAAAAACCAAAACCCCCAAAGTTATTACTTCTCCGCCGCCGGTGGCCTGAACAACTTTATTTGTCTTGGGTCACTGGCGAGCTGCTGCTAGGTAGTTTAGCCTATCTTCTAGGTAGGTAGTTTAGCCTATCTTCTAGGTTTGACAAAGGTAGATATCAAACCCTTCCCCTTCTCTCTAAAAACCAAAATCCCCAAAGTTATTACTTCTCCGCTGCTAGTGGCCTGAACGACTTTATTTGTCTTGGGTCACAGGCGAGCTGCTGCTAGGTAGTTTAGCCTATCTTCTAGGCAGTTTAGCCTATCTTCTAGGTAGTTTAATTAAGTTTGTCGGCTGCACCGTGTTTTGAACGGAGGATATTTACTTCGGGTCAAATTAATGAAGCAGTCTTTGACGATCTACTTCCTAAGGGCTACTCCCAGTGTCGCCGATACTGGTTATCGTGTCTCAGTTAACCTCGTCGGTAAAGGTGAAGTTGAGGCTTAGGGTTTCTATTTAGGTAAAGTAAGGTCGATTTTCAAGAACCGAGGCTTTGGGGGTTTCGGCTTCGTCATCTCGCGGAGCTCTTCAATCGTTGGTGATAAGGTGGGGTTTCCTTCATCGTCGGTTTTCACTTCTTCCTGGTATGGTTTTTAATTTTGTGTAATTAAGGGATTGCCTAGTGGTTTAGTTTTAGCTTTTTCTTTGGTGTTTCATTCTGCTTTGTTTTAAGTCTTTATGGCTAGCTTTGAGGAATTAAGGGGGATTTTGTGTTTTTCACATGTTGAAGAGAATAATGTCTCTTCTCATGGGATTATTCTCTTCAACATGGGTTAGAGTATATAGTTGGGCAGTTGGAGAATCCTTTTGGTATTCTCAATTTTGTTAAGAATTTAAGAGATGAGGTAAACATGTTCTACAAGCAGAATCAGATGAGGTATGCTATTGCAAAATACTTTGTTGCTCTTAAGATGCTGTCCTTGGTTTTAGTTTGTAGTGATGAGGATAAATTGATGTTTTTTTGGTATCACCGTGTCCCTTAATCTGAACTTGGGCGCTTGCTATATCAAGGTGAAAGACTATGATAGGGTGGGTCAATTATGTTCAGTGGTTTTGTGTATTGATGCTACTTATGTGAAAGTTTACTTCAGAAGCCCGATTGAGGCGTTAGAATTCCATAAAACTACTTTAGCTTTCATGGACCTTGCACAAGCCCTTAAAATAGATCCCAATAATAGTGAGTCCCAACAAAAACTAAAGGAGGTGATTTCCTTATTGTGTTGGTCTTGGAATCTCGTTAATGAGGCACAAGCAGTAATAAGGGAGGATGAGAAGTTTAGAGATTATGTTCATTGTGGGAAGGATCATAATGAGAGGAAGTTAGGAAAAAAAAGGGAAAAGAAAGAAAGGAGATGGTCACGATGATGGTCATGTTCGTAGGTGTATAGGTGTGAAAGACGACACCGAAATGGAAAAGAATGTTGATGGCAATTCTTTGGATTTGGATGGTAGAGTTAACCTTACCAACCAAGATCTTGGGCTCAACGTTATTGATTACAATTGTGTTCTGAAGGGAACTTCGGAAACAAAAAACCCAAACCTCACAGGTCAAGTTTCGGTTCTTAAGCCGGAAGCGTATTGATTCCTATTTGCATCTCACTCCAACAATGTATGGAGTGATTTCCAGAGGACGAACATAAATCTGAGTTACTTTGGTAAAGAAGAAGAAGCTTATGAAAGGTATAATGATCATTTTAAATTATATTAATCAACATCATCCTCCAACTGCTCTAAGAAAAGGCCAAGTTTCTTCGAGTGATTCAAGAAATGTTTATGCCAAGTTCCTTCAAGTGATTCAAGAAATAATCAAATTCCTTTAAGTGTTCCATGAAAGGTTCAATTACAAGAATTCTCTAGTGAGAGAGTACTGAGAGAAAATGCTCTCAAATAGTTTAACCCTAAGCCCCTTTGCCTCCTTCTGCCGTTTTCGTTACTTTGCACCTGTTTTCCCAAATTTAGCAAATCTCTACTCTGAATCTAATACCCTTTTGCATCCACTGCTATCTTTTAGCCTTTGTCTCCTACTTGGGGTATTAATTTACTTCCAATCTCGATCATCATCATCAATCATTATATGTTTTGTTGCTTTTGTTTTGAACAAATATTGGGTATCTTTTCCTTCCGGCCACCGTCACGCCACTGATGATCTTTCCAAAATTCATTTTGGTTCAACCCAATTGAAGTCTCAAATTTACTTCGTGATACTTATAAGTGGTTTTCCAAATTTCCGATTCAGCTTCTTCCCTTGTCGAAGAAATTGTGGTTTTATTAGTTGCTCCGATTATACTATGGTAATTGTCCAATTAACTCTGTGCTCCTCTAACTTTGGTGATGCTCCTATAATTTATGGTGGAGCTCCAACTAATTCGAATATACAAGGTGCTGTAATTATTTGGTGCTTTTTTGTACTTTACCTTCTCACTAGAGTTTTCGGTATCTTCTTGTCTTCTTCCTACTGTATTACCCCTTTATTCATCTTCCTTTTATATTAACCCACACACCAAACACTTTCCGTTTGTTTTTGTTTTTTTATGCTTTACTCTTGTTCCCTGTTGGTTGATACTCGGGTCATTGTTCCTCTTTGGAACTTGGGTTATTTAAACTCTTTTGAGTTCTTTGTTATAGGTGCACTTTTGTGTATCCTTGGTATTTGTTTGGTCCTTTCTCCATGTTCCTCATTATGGACTTATGCCTGTCTTTTATTTTTTTATATGTTGACTTTTCATTGCTTACCCACCATGTGCCCTTCTTGTGCTCTTCCTCTTTTTTTTTTTTTTTTTTTTACTCGCATATGTTTCTTTTTAAATATTTATCCCATTTGTTTCTTTTTAAATATTTATCCCATCTTATTTGGTATTACTCTTGAGTTGTGTACTCTCTCTTCTTCTCTTATTTGATTCTCTCTTGTTCCTTTCCTTGTTACACTCTCTTTTTATTGGATGATTTTTAATCTTTAGTTGCACTCACTCTTACACTCTGAAATACAGGTTTGTTTTACTGATCCTAAGCTACCTTTCCCCCTTTATATATACTAATTTCTGGACTTTTTTTAGGCTCCTTTATTCTCCTAAGGAGCTTGACATGTGGCAAATTTTTGCATGCCTTACAGTTAGGTACATGGTTTTTCTTCTCTATCTTCTCCTATGGTTTTCAAAGAGCGCTCTTTCTCTTTCTCTCTCCTTCTTACTTTTATGATCACATATTCTTACGTGTAATGTTTACTGATTTTGTGGGTTATTATTTTTATGTGTTGTAATTTTGTGCTTTTACTTCTTGTAATTGTTGTATACCCTTGTCCAATCTTATAGCTACCTGTCATGTTTTTATGTAATTTGAATTAATTATTTTTTTTATCTGTTAATTCTTACTTTATGACTTTTTTTTTTATTTAATTTCTTTCCTGTTTCATGCCTTAGGTATTTGTTTTTTATCTCCCCTTTTTATTTGGGTATAAATAGATCCTTTTACTGCTCTAATGGTATTCATTTTTACATCCTCTCCTTCCCTATTTGTGTTTGGTTATTTCTTTATCTTAGTTTTATTTTCCATGTCTGATTCTGTACCCCCTCCCGGCACCTATGCCCACTGTGTCTCAACCTTTTCTTCTCACCCTCCAAACTTGGGGTCCCAATAGAGTACTATGGGAACTGACCTTTGCCTAGGTAATGGAATTGTCCATTCGGCCCCACTTAACCAATCCATTCTCGATGGAAATCAAGATTAAGAATCTTCCTGCCCCTCTTGTCGTTCACTCAGGAAAATAGTGTGTTTCTAGTCCATTTGGTTTTACCTCCCACATCTTCTATGAATCCTATTCCTCCTCCTGTCCGGGTAGTATTCCTAAGTTTCCCATTACCCTTACCCTTTGGGGAAAGAGTCTTTAAGCATATTATTGAGTCTAAACTTAGGAATGCCTGGGCTTTCCTTCAAGGTCATGTAGACTTTGAGATTATGGCTAATGGGTGGCTTCTCCTTACTTTTTCTACTAATGAGGACAAGACTAATGCTTGGTTGGGGAGACCTTGGTTTGTGCAAGGTCTTAACTTTGTCATGCTTGAATGGACTGAAAATTTATGTCCTATTTCAGCTTCTTTCTCCTCCATTGACCAATGGGTTAAAATTTACCAGCTTCCCCATCCTTACTGGTCCTTCTAATGTCTTGCTACTATCTTGGCCTCTATTGGTAGACTTGTTAAATTAGATCACTTCACTGAAGCAAAAAATCCACCTCAATTATGAGAGGATGGCTGAAGTTTGCCCCCAATGTGGGGTTGAATCTCATGCACTTGACAACTGCCCTAAGGTTGCTCAATCTTCTATGCGTATCCTCATTGAGAGATTAAACATCAATTCCTCTTCTTCCCCTAAGAGTGATCCTTCTGCCCCTCCTTCTACTACTCCCACTTCTTCTAAATGGGTAAAAGCAGTCCCAAAACGGAGAGCCTTCCCCCCCTCCCCTATGAGGGCAAGATCCTCTGGGCTCACTAAGCTCCAACCTGGTAAATATGTCATTAGCCTTGCTAAATTTGGGTCATCTTCTGGTCCTGCATTCCCTATTGTGGCTTAAGTGGGCGAATGGGTCTTTACTTAAAAGACAGGAAATTGAAAAGGTTCTAGTGCCTTCCCTCTTCTAGCTGGAACTAGAAACAAATCTGGAGAGTCAAGGATGTAATGAAAGATGGCTATGTTGGTGACAGATGGATAGCTAACAGCAAGGGCTATACTATAGCTAGGTGGAGTTTATAATTGGCTAAAGCAACAGCATGATAAGGTTCCTTAGAGTGATTGGGTCTGGAATAGACTTAATATTCCCAAGCACAGGTTCATTTGCTGAATTATCATGTGGAGGAGAATCCGAGTGAAAGCCTTTTTAACCAGGATTGGTGGGACTACAGATGATCAATGCCCTTTATGCTTAGATGGTGTTCATCTTTTCTTTGAGTGCAAGTACGGTAGCAAATGCTATGAGTTACTACAGAAGAGATTGAGGCAGTAGGGTGTTCCAAAGAACATTGAAGATTTGCAATGAAAAATTGCTAGCTATTAGAGGTAGAATAAAAAGCTAAGGCCGGTTGATCGATCATCGGAGTTGTTTTATTGGGCTTCTCTACAACATTTGTAGGTAGAGGAACTGTGTGATATGGAATAAATCCTTGATTAAACATGAGCTTTGATCCAGAAGCGGTTTGATGAGTTGTATCAGAGAATTTCGTATTCAATGCCAATGAAGACTAGCAAAAAAATAACCAGATCTAGTTTTGAGAGATTTTCTAGAAATAGGGTCTCTTAGCTTAAAGTTAGTTTGTTTCTTGTTTTGTTCTGGTTTTGAGGACTTGACTTTCTTAGTCTTATGTTGTATTTTGGTTTTTGTTCATGATTCTCTTAATAAAATTTTTACCTTTTTTTGTAAAAAAATAAAAAAAACAATAAAACGCTAGTTCTATCTTTGGTTATAAAAACATGTAAGCCTCAACTCAATTAGCAAATTCGCATGCTTCGGAAATTAGATTGTTTTTGACCCTTATTCTTTAATTTTATTTAGTTTTTTTCTTGGTTTGCTTTTTATTTAGTTTTGCTCTGATTTGTTCTCTCCATCCGTGAGAGTCCGTCCCATATTTTTTTGAACTTTTTCAATTTTATGGAATTTTGATTCTCATCTATATATGGATGAGAATTTTATTTTAAAGGTTATGATAATAATTCGGAAAGTGATTTGGATCCATATTAATTTAGGGTTTGTCATCAATTCTCCAATCGAAACATTAGCACAGAATACGAAGGTTTCTATTGGGAAAGATACAAAGACATTGAAGATCACTGCTTGAGTCAAGCTTGAAGTTTGACGTGATGGAGTGTGAACTATGCCAAATATGCAAATTAGTTATGATTTTGATTGTAAAATTTATGTTAATTTCTCTTAATTTGTTGTTTACAAAAGATGATTTTGATTGTAAATTAAAGTTATGTTAATTTCTTTGAATTTGTGGTTGACAAATCTTTATTATTATTGTAAATGCCGTATAACTATTCATTATAAAAAATAAAAAGTATCAAGGGCGGAGGTGTAGTACGGAAGAGTGTATGCATGAGATCAAACTGCATTTTTATATCATATTATCTCATAACTCTCCTACACCAAATATTTTTTCTTATAAAAGTATTTTATCTTATGTTTTCATTCTAAAACAATGAATTTAAAAGAAGGCCTCATCATATCTTAATTGCACTGGACCTCCATAATAATTGGGACAGCCCTATCCATTCCATTAATCCAATAAATGTTTATGAATTTGGATATTTTGAAAAAAAAAATTGTACTCCCTTCATCCTCAAATGATTTTTCCACTTGTGAAAATACATGAGAATTAAGAAAGAGAAAGAAAAGTAGTATAAATACATGGGAAGGTTAAAAGAGATAGATAGATAAATACATGAAAACAAAACTAAATTAACAATAAAGTTAAAAGAAAGAAATTTTTTTACCTCTTCCAAATCTAACATTAAAGTGTAAAGGGATGAATAATGATGTGACAATAAAATCTAATTACATAATAAGAAATGGTGCAAATGAAATTACTCCTAAAAGCGCTAAAAACATAAACAAAAAGTGAGAATGATATACCCACAAACATAATAATTCCTGCAAAAAAAATCATAAATTTTTATGTGAAAATTGACAATTATTAAAAAAGTTGATTTATAATTAAAATGAATATAATTTATAATTATTATTATTTGTATTTTTTTAGTTTAACAAACGTTACAAAGTAGATCATAATAGCCAGAATTAAAGAAATTATGATGGTTGAGTTAAAATTTGGTAAGTTGGATAGAAAAAATTGGATTAAAGCGTAGAACAATGAGGGTTTCATTTGGTAGTAGAATGTTGTAAACTTTCATAAGGGAAGTCCCTCCGGTTATCATATACACTATATCGCAGCCAAATTGAAACATAATTTGTTGTGGAAATATAAATCATTACCCAAATTTTTCCCTAAAAGCATATTGTCCCAATTCATAATATCTATCAAATCTCTTCCCAGATACAATTTCATGCATTTTCACCATTTGCTAGAGAGTATATAATTTTACAATCCATGACAATACTAAATTTGTCACACTAGGACCCCTGAATACAAACATTCATTCAATGTCATTTGTTTTATTATTATGCAAACTAATCATAGGAATACACAATCTCCTAAACTATGTTTTCCTAATGTTTATATTTTTTTAGTATAATAAAATCAAATTGCTCGGTATTACATAATGACATGCAATTTTATTACATTATTAATTTATAACAATATTTAATTTGTCGAGAATAAAAGCGGTTCAATTAGTATCCATAATCACAACGTTGCTAATTCATATTTTATTGGGCTACTAGCTTATGAGTCATGGACATAATATGTTATGGAGCACAATATTGGATTTGTACAGACGTACTCACATAGTCACATATACTCACATTAAAAAAAAAATTATTAAAAAAATCTCATAAATTTTGGCTTCTTTAAAAAATTTGTTACCCGAATTCAGGTGACTCATAAAAATACTTATGTGCGAATCCGTCCTTGACGTCAAATTTTTTTTTTTTGAAAGAATTGCTTAGTCGTGTTAATTTGTTAAACAACAATTATTGTGAATGATTTGCATTATTTGGTTCATATTGAAAGTAAACTATTGTATGATACAAATCATCACTGTCAACACCAAATTATCAACTTTAAATTAGGTTTCTCTTGGTCGATTTCAAGGAAAAAAATTTAGCTAAAAACAAAATTAATTAATTCAATATACAAAATATTGGTTTCTACTTTTGATTTCTTGGTTGAAATTAAGGCGTAGAATCGGCTTCTTTTTTTGACGTATCAGAAAGGGCTTTTCTTCTACGCCCGAAGTTTCTATTTATGCAAGTATCTTCACTTAATAAAACTAAACTGTTTTAATTACAAGGAAGACTATTACATACAAGTACATCCTACCAATCCTATTATCAAAATTAGATAAAGTAATTCATTAAAAAGGCTTTTTTTTTACAATTACCACCTACAATGGTTGGTGTTTTAGTAATTACGTACCACCTACTGTTTTTTATTTGTATTTTACCACCTAATATTTTTAAAAATTAAAAATTTCCCACCTGATTGCCTACATGACGTCATTGTGGACTCCAATCGCAGATTTTTTTTCTCAATTTCATTCCTTCTTCTAATATTGTTCTTCGATTTTTGAATTGCAAATCCAAATTATGCAAACAAACCACTAAATTAGGTATCCAATAGTCCTAATTTACAAAATTGGGTCTAACTATAAGATGGCGTTCATCATTTAGGGTTTTGAAGTGAAATTAGGAATATTATTTAGTGATTAATTTATGAAATTGGGACTAGTTTGCATTGATTTAATGTATTATGTCTTCAAGTAGTACCGAAATTGATATTATTATGAAGAAATTATTCGGACTGCTACCTGCAAGATTTTTCATCATTTGAGTAAAAGTACAAGCAGGAGGGATGAATTATCTAGTTTACTAGACATGCAACCCCGATGAGAAAACGTAAATTTCATCTTTTACCCTGTGGTAGTGTTAGCCCTATTCAAAGGAGACTCGATCCACCCTTTGCTTTGGAACCTAAATCTTTGCACCCCATTCATGATCTTCTCTAAAACCTACAGCAAGCAATTTTGTTAACCAAATAATCACTTTTAGTCCAACAACAATAGGAGCTTTAATAATTGTCTATAACATTAGATGAGCTCCATCAATAAAATCTGAAAAACAACAAAAATATGAAATACTGGACGAAGAATGAACGAGAAAACAGCTACAAAATTAGATTTCAAAGATTGAAACTTCTATTACTTATATATCGAGTTTTAATTTTTACATCACTCAATGTTCAAAGGTTAATTCTACCAAAACAATGCGTGCCCCTAAAACCAACACATCCAACAAGCATTACATTAGTTCATACCCAAAATCACAACATCAATTCAAACGGAACAACTAATGACAATTAACAAACCCCCCACCTCATATATATCCCAAATATAGAATTTCGGAACCAAATTCTAAAACCCAGAAATCCCATAACTAATCTCATGAAAATAATATCAAATAACACAACCAAATGACAAATTTAGTGATTTGAACAGAACCCAACAAGCAAAATTCCTCAACTTTTGAAAAACAAGTGTAGATCTACAAAAATAACATTAAAAAACCATAAAAAAAATTTAAAAATAGGGCAAAGAAAAGACCTGAAGACCAGCACGAGAAGAACGATTACTGTTCTTCCTTCTTAGCCCTTCTCTCTTAATGAGAAGATAAGAAAGAGTTAAGTGAGACTTAGAGTGCAAGTATATAATAATTGCTACAACTAAACCAATAATAACCTAATAACCTAAGTGAACCAAACCCAGAAACAATGGAACACTCAAATTATAATCCTTGAACCCGCTTTATAAGGAGTATATAAACTCAGAATTTGAAATACCTAGAATGCAAGTGAGCAAATTGATCAAGAGATCCCGACAATAATTTTCGATCAGATTGAACCCTAAAATATTAAACCCACAAAAAATTAATAAAATTGGTTTCCATTTTTTTTTTTCCAAATTAGATCGAAGTAAATCTGATAATAATTCACAAAGAGTAAATCCGATTGCAAAATGGAAACTTGATGATTGAAAAACACATTACCTTGTAAGCTGCTTCAATAAAGGGGAAAGCAGAAATTTTGCTTTAGTGAAGAACGGAAAAAGCTCGGAAGCTGCTTAATGGAGAAAAAAGATAAGAAAGTCGCATATTTGCTGATTTAATAAGAAAAAGAAAATAATTTAACCTTAAAAGCTATTTCAATGGGGGAGTGAAAACCTAGAAGTCGCTTAAATTTCACATAAATCGACGAAATTGAAACCAAAAACTAACCAATAGAGTGAAGAACTGAGGTCAGAAGCTGAAACAATGAATTTAACAAAAGCAAAAGCGAGTTGAAATCAAATTCGAAAATTATTGAAATATATCAAAATTTAACAAGAAATACAATTCGTTAATTAAGGGAAAATTAAAGAACTCACCTTAAGGAGAGAGAAGAACCAAATTGCAAACAGATTTGTAATTTGAACCAGATTTGGATGAACCAGATTTCAATCTCACCTTGAAATCCAAGAACTCACCTTGAGGAGAGAGAAGAACCAGATTGAAAACTGAGGAGAGAGATTGAAAAGTGATGAGGAGAGAGGAAAAGTGTTGATCAATCATCTGTGTGAGGAAAAGTGGAGCAGAAGAAAGCTCAATAATTTTATTTTATTTTTATTTTTAAAGGTTACAATGGGAAGAATACTATGATCAAAGGAGTATGCCAATTCCCGTCAAAAAAAAAAGGGAGTATGCCAATTGTAATTTAAGGGCAAAATCGTAATTGTACTTTTTGAGGGGCAAAATTGTCATCACACTATTACTAAGGAGTTTTCAACTTGCAAACTTGTCACTTTTAATAGTTATAGATTAGCCAAGGAAACCGATTAGTCATGGAGCTAGTGTACCCTATTTTAGTATAGTATATATAGATAGATATCTTATATCGTAGATATATAATGTCATTAATAATATAAATGTTAAACACAAATACTATGTATAATGTATTGTAAATTATGTGCGTATATATAATTTTTTTTTAATGCACATGTACGTATATATATAATAGAAGTAAACATTAATTATGTTAAATGTCATACAATTTTTTTTTTTAATTATGTTAAAACAAGACTTTTACCACCAAAATAAATCAAAAAATTGTTTTTTACCACCAAAACTTCTAAAACTTTTATAATACCACCCAAAAAAAGTTCTAAATTTTTTTTTACCATCTAACGTCAAGAAAACCGTTAAATCTAACGATTTAAAAAAAAATTATTCGAATTTTGTGCGCAAAACATGCTTTTCATGGGTTTAGAGGGCCATTTGGCCCTGTGGGTCCAATTTGAGTCAAAATTGACAAAAAATGATCGAAAATGTCTTGTTTTGTGTGTTCACTCAAATTGAGGTAATTTTAAACACGCAAAATGAGATATTTTCGATCATTTTTTTATCAATTCTGACTTCAAATTGGACTCATAGGGCCAAATTGCCCCACAAAACCTCTAAAGAGCATGTGTTTGACATGAAAATCGAAGAATTTTAAAAATTTCATTAGGTTTTTTACGACAGGTGGTAAAAAACAATTTTAAATTTTTTATTTGGTGGTAAAATAAAGGTTTTAGAAGTTTTGATGGTAAAAAACAATTTTTTGATTTTTTTGTGTGGTAAAAATCAAATTTTCCTTAATTATATTTTTAAGAAAATATATACTATACTTATAAGATATATGTAATTTCTTTATTGTATATTATTTTAAGAAAACTGAGTAGATTATTGCGTAAGACTATTTTGAATATAGCGAGAGCAATTATCTTTTTGACAGTATATAATATAGCATGAACAATAAAGCCAATAATCTACTTAACATGTTCCCACAAAAAAAAAATCTACTCAACATGACATTACTACTTAATCGATTCTTCTACGACTTAGGACTTAATCTAATTTTATTGATTCACTAATCAATAAATTAATCACACCCAATTATTTGATTTTCCATGAAAAATCAGTCCTTAATTTTCTAATGTAATATACCTATGTTGTTCTAAGTAACTTTTTAATATAAGAATTATAATTTTTTTTATGTAATTAATGAGCATATCAACTAATCATACAAGTTTATGATACTTATTATTGTAAAAAAATTCATACCCAATATCATCGGCTATATGTTATGTCTAATTAGGAAGGACAATTTATTATTTATTAACAAAAATTATCTTTACTAAAACTATATGCGAGTAAGAATATAATATAAACAAAATTATCTGAAGTAATAATACCGTAATAACATAAATTTCTATTATTGATGACAATTCTATAAAATAAAATATATAGTTCAAATCAAATGTTTAACTAAAATATATGAGAATTTATAGTTATAAGGATAATTCTATAATATGCGATATATAAATAGATATTTAACAAATATACTCTGATACAAAACTTAAAATAAATAAATAAATAAATAAATAAAAAAACGTGTCATCCATGGAACTAGTGTACCCCGTTTTAGTATAGTATATAGATATAGATAGATTGGTAGATTATATGTTTTTAATAAAATTGTAAATGAATTTATGTTATTTGTTAATTACCATTTGTTTTGTTTATTTGTTATTTTGTATATGATTTTATGTGTAATAATTTTTTATTTTATACTACATTTATGGTTGTATAGCATTGTGGTATGCATAAGAATATTGGATAAATAAAACTAATTTGTTCCGTGCATTGGAAGGTATGGTCTTGCGATATGGTTTAAATATTTAAAACTTTAAATTATAATCTTCTACGAGTAGGCTACTTGTATGTTAAAACAAGTTTATTTTTTACTATTTAAGACAATTGTTATCACATGTATACATGAAAAATACACATTACAAAATTAACACAATTGTCATATTTCTTTGATATTAACCATAATTTAATGTAAACAATAATTTTCCATTTTTTTATACGAAAATCAATCAGAAAATCATTAAAGGATTTTCGGCTTTCCAGTAATGCCAAAATATTGTTATTAGGTAATTTAAGGACATAATAGGTAATTCAACGGTATTAAGGTTGCGTTTGATGATAATTTTTATTTGAAAAGGGATGAGCTAAAATGTTGAATATGGTATACATAGACCTACATTCAAAATAATGTATTTTAATTACTCAATATGTTTATGTTAAATGTTCACATTTAATCAGAAATTTATAAAAGTCATCTAATAATAGCTAAATCCTCAATTTCGCAACTTCTTATTTTCCTATTAATAAACCCTAGGTTATTAATGACTATTATATAAAACAATAATAATCATCATACAAACCGTAAGAGTCTTATCAATAAGCTCAATCCATTATCAAGATCTGCAAACTTGAAGAAGAAATAAAATTAAAAAATTAAAAAAAAACCATTAATTCCAAAAAAAAGTATTTAAATCCCTTATTTTAACAAAATTTTACTGTACTCATTCTTAGTTATTGAAGTTTTTCTTTAAAAAAATAGAGAAAATAAATATACATGCTTCTTGTTACAATGCATAGGGACGGGAGATTCATCTCCCTCCCACAAACTCAATTCGTACAAACTCGACAAAACCCAATAAAACTCTTTACTCAACGGAGAAATAGAATCTCCAATCAACTCTCTGAGACACCTGGATAAATAAATAAACTCGATGTCATCTTGATTTATTCTACCCTTTCTCTCACTTTCATCTAAATCCATGAAGAAATTCGAGTTCCGGTGAGAAAATGAAACGTGAATGAATGTGAGTGAGTGAAGATTGAGAAATGCAAGCAAGTGATGAAATGGGCGGAGCAATGCATTTTATACTGGTGGTGGTCCCAATGGGTGCCCTCCTTTTGTTTTATTTTTGTAAGAAAAAAATTAAAGTTGTAATAATTTTGGACTTAAGATAACAAATGGGGTCTAAATTTTTGCAAAATATTTTTAGGGTTCAAGTTATTTTTACTTAGTACTTGGGGTCTAGGGTGGAATTTCCGGTGAGTTAACCTCGCTTTAACTCACAGTTAATCATAAGCAAACAAACTTAAACCCTTTTTAACCAAGTTAGACCCCTAACCAAATAAGCTAGACCCCTAATGCATTTAATTTTAGCAACATGATATAATGCTAAAATTAAAAAATAAGTAGTTACACAGTACAATACTATTGTTCTCTCCGAAAGAATTTCATTACCATCCGAGTAGTCAATCCTTTAAAGAAGATGGATAGTGGTTAAACTCAAGAAGTTTCTACACCAAGGGAGTAATTAGTCACCTCCCTTTGGAAGGGCACCATAGGTGTGAGACAACTCCAGATTTGATGCAAGAAGATCCAGTCATATGTATGGCAAGTCACAAGTCATCATGTGAAGCTACGTTGACAATCCTACCAATTACGCCTGTTTTTTCCCCTCTGCAGACTTCCGTTCACCCAATAACTTCCTCCTTTAAAATATCGTTGGGTTTCGTCTCGTCGATCTCCCCATCCTACTTTTAGAAGGAAATATGTCATTTTGCAAAGTAAGGGTCTGTTCACATTTACTTAATTTCAGTTCACTTCAGTTCAGCTCCAATCAGTTCAGTTCAGTTCAGTTCAGCTCTAATCAGTTCAGTTCAGTTCAGCTCCTAATTTCCCTCTCTCATAAAATATTCATTTCAACTCAGTTCAGTTCAGTTTAGTTCAATTCAGCTCTAATTAGTTCAGTTCAGTTCAGTCAGCTCCAATCAGTTCAATTCGGTTCAGTTCAGCTCAGCTCAGTTCAGCAAATGTGAACAAGCCCTAAGTCTCCCGCATGTTTTTCTAACTTATTTTATAATACTCCGTATTTTTAATAATTTATTTAAGAATTTATAAAAATATTTTAAGGGTTCAATTATTTTAATTAAATATTTTAAAGAGCTATAGAATTTTAATTATTGAGTTTCATAAAAGTAAAATATATTTTGGGCTAAACGTTTCTTAACAATTTAGACTCGTTTAAATAAATGTATGTAAACAATCCTTACATACTCCTATTGGACCTACCCATTTCTTTCAAATAAGCTCAATTCATTTATTTGAATGAGTCAAATATTTCATAACTCAAGTCCGCTTACTTTTAAGCCCAAACCTACCCTATATTCTCTACTCTATAAATATCCTCCAAAACCCCAAAATTGCCACACAAGGAGGCAAAATAATCAGATTTTTCAATTTAAGTTTCTTTTTCTTTTTCTTTTCTTCTTTTTCTTTCTTTCCTTTTTTTTTTCCTTACTCTTTTTTTTCTTGTTGTACGTAAGGAACAAGGGAAACAAATTCTCACCTCACACATGCATGTGCAGCCACCTCACCTCACGCCACCCATGCAGCCATGTCACCGTCGACGACCACGTCGACCACTTGCCGCCGCTCAGCCAGCAAACCACCACCACGGTGGTCCCCTTCTCTCTCCCCCTTGTTTATAATTTATTTAATGTAGTATGTATATATTTTGGGTTTTGATTTTAGTTGTTGAAATATAATTAGTACTACCTCTGTTTTTTTTTAGTTTACCCTTTTTGACATTAGCACCATTCACACACTCCGCTTTGGTCGTGTTTTGTGCTTTATACGTAATGAAAAATTAGTCATGTAGGATCTTGTTGGATTCGTCACTATAAATATTTTCAAAATATCAACTTTTCTTAATTTTTGCTTATCGGTAATTAAAAATATGAATGATTGAAGTTGTGCATTGACAAACATGACTAAAGAAACGTGTCTACTAAAAAGAAATGGAGGAATTATGTTTTATAATTGTATTTTGATCATTAAAGAGTATACATTTTAGATTATTAAGTGTTTTAAATTTCAAATTTATAAAGTATTAAAAGTT